TATATATATATATATATATATATATATATATATATATATATATATATATATCATTCTTGAATTAAAATCAATTAATTTTTATTACGCAACAAAAATATGTTTTATTATAAAAACAATAATATTATATAATGTACTTTTGTAAAATTTGATATACAATTTAAGACGGTATACATTAAAAAAAAATACTAAAAATGTTAAAAAGATAAGAAAATTTAAAAAATAAGTCATTTTTTGGACGTTTTTAAGACATCTTTTACAAGTTTGTGCTTCTGGGAAGAGGGGTAGGGGATAATATAATTTATAGTAAAATTTTTTTTAATAATTGTTTAAATAATCTACTTTTAGCTTACATTCGATCTAATTCTTTTTTCTTTTAATTACTCATATGATAACGTCTCGCTGTTGTGCGTGATTTTCAAGGATATCATTAATAAAAAATAATCACAAGCAGATTTCTGACGAAACTAAAAAATATAACTCGACGAAACTAAGAAATACGAGATTGACATTCAATATCCTATATTTTTATTTGTCACAGATCTCAATCTAACTCCTCCCGTTTCAGAAAGAGAAAAAGAGAAAAATTCAAAACAACCATGTGCCGTTTTCACCCGGGAACTATCGCTGCTTACGGGAGTTCGTGAACCCTATATCGATTTCGCTATTCATAGAAACGACAAGGAACGGTCAATGGACTATCGTTCGTTTCGTTTGATATTACGTAGATCGCGGGCTAACAACAGGTCTATAACTGACTTCCTTCTTTTACAACTTTTATATAAAGTGTAAATTGCTCGAACGTCAATGAACATATCTCGCAAGGACAATGTTGTCGTATGGACGCCCTTCAGCATTACAAAAGAAAGAGACAAGGTTTCATTAAGTTCGAATGTTAAAATATACTAAAATTCTATAAACGAATTAATCAGTTTATATTCTACGTAAAACTTAACTCATCAAATGTATTTAATCGAAAATTACATACACTGTTCACGAAACTTAGTATTTATCTCGAACTGACACAAACGCCTAGAGGTCAGCTAAGTCCACACGGATAAGCAAATACATATATACAAAAGCTATCATTGTAAAAGAAATAATTGTTTTTCATAACACTAATGTCTGATATGTCAGTAATATTATTGTAGGGATATCGTGACCAAAGAAAATATGTCGTAGCATTTCTATTCGGAGATTCGCGTATATAGAGACTTGATGTTGCAGTTATCGATCGATAGATGTTACAGCCGAAGGAAATCAATAAATTGGAGCACTGCCCCGAGGCTGACTGTAATATACTTCGTATAACAGAGTAAATGTAGGATCGAAATATTCCATCTACAAGATACAACGCGCGCATCGATAACCTTTGATAGCAATGATAATTATCTGCGACTACTTATATAAGATTATATTGAGACTTAAAACAAACTTGCACATGATTTACATATTACATAATTTATTGTAGAATCATAATAAGCTTTACTTTTTAATCAATTTATCACTAATCTATGATATTAAACAATTTGATTAAAATTTATATATTCCTTTTTTGCGTCGCGTTTTTCTTAAAGCTGGAACATACGATGCATATTTTCATGTCTTCTGACATGCGGCTCAATTTACTATATAGATCTTCCAATGTATATAACTCAGTTACCAAATGACTACATATTTTTTCGAATGAAGTTGCAGTTCTCATAGTAATCACAATTGAGGGATTATGCTGACCAGGAATAGGATTTCGAGGACGGAGTCGCGCTGATATATGACAATTGATATGTACACAGGGAGAAGTCACGTACATGTGTACTCACTGTTAAAGTGCTGAGCGCACATGTACGTGACTTCTCTCTATGTGCGTATTAATTGTCATATACTTATCGACGCGGTTCCGTCCTGCTTAAACCTTCAAAGTCTACAAGTTTGTGTAATTCCACAAACAAGTGTGTGTTTGTGTATTGAAAATACTACGGGAGAATAACAATATTTGAATGTTATATTAATCGAATTTATTTTTACTCTGTACTGTCACTTTGATTCCTGTTATAATTGATTACAACTGGCGCGAATGTGTCAGTTGTATCTGTTTATTTGTGACAACTAGAAGCGTTGCAACTTCATTCGGAAAAATGTGTAACCACTGTCTAATAGCCGAATACAATAGCCAATTCATACAGTAAACTAAATTGCCGATCAACATGCGTATAAAAAACATAAAATCATGTCGTATGATTTTAGTTTTATATTCCGTATATTTGATAGTTATTCAACTCATCAGGCTTCTTTCCTATCACAAAATATACTTTAAACTCTACTTTAAATAGTATCACGTATAGACACTCATTGTTACTTCATGTTACTTCATTATCGTATAGAATTGAAGATCTTGATCTTGTTCTCGAAGATATAACATGTCATAGATATAACATGTTATCGCATTAAGTAATTTTCCGTTCCTTGATTAGTTGTATCAGCACAGGAAGATTGACAGATATAGCGATACGAGCGGTACAGAGAGCTCACAGAATTTCACGCAATATTACATTTACTAGAGCGTGTACACGTGAGTGTTTTGTGTACGTTGCTTGGAAACGTAAAAAGCCCCATAGCAGCTCGCAATATCCTCGTTGTGAAGACATGTAAGTAATTTTAATCGACATACGTAATTGAAAGTCAGATGCTTGTCATATATTATACCATTAAATTTAATAATTCATAATAATGAAGAGCAGTTAGTGTCTCATACATCTCTAAAGTATATCAAGTAATACTTTCAAGTCCAAGAAAGGAAATAAATACCTTGAAACTTGATGAAAACTGGAAGTATTACTGTACTGACAATCTGTCTTTGATTGTCTAACAACATTCTAATATAGAATATGTGAGTCACTCTTGTAAATATATTTTATCACAACAAATCTAGCTTGTTGATTAGTTGCGTATTAGATACGCAAAAAATTATACGACAGATACTTCAAAATAATTATTATTTCACATAAAAGCGGACGGCCTTCACATACCAAGTCTCAACAAATTTTTGCCCGCTGATGACTTTCACGATTCTTTACGAGATAATGTCCAATATTGAGGAGACCGAAACTAATTGGCAAAACCTGTTATCTTTAGTATTTTCTAACAGATTACAAAATTAAGTAAGCAAGATGTTTTAAACATGTCAAAAATGGCTTTGACATTCCTGCTTATTTTATTTTGAAATCTGTTAAAGAACAGTAGAAATAATTAATTTTTGCCAACTTACGGTGACCAAATAGCTCTGGTCTCCCTTACATACATCATATATATATATATATATATATATATATATATATATATATATATATATATATATATATATAT